GTATGCTTCGGGTGTTTGGCTGCATGGTACAGTACAGGCTACACACGGCAAGGACCGGAAAGTTCGCTGACCGGGCTCGCTGGGGCATCCACCTCGGAATCGAAAAGGAATACAAGGCATGGATCGTGCTGGACTACGCGACATACGAAGTGACAAAAGCACGTGACTGCATCTTCTACGAAAAGCTGACGCTGCCACTGTTCAAGGAGCACCGCGAAGCTGACAAGGCGCCGAAAAGGGTTTTCGAGGGCCACCGCAGCTTCGCAACTTCGCACGATGAAGCTGGCCTGGCAGAAGATGTGGATGCAGCAGATGTCACGCAATTTGACAGCGCACCCAACATCCCCCTTACAAGCCCATTCCGAACTCCCACATTCATTCCTGTACATCAATTCGATCCCGACGATACAACTGAAGAAGCCCACAACTACAACAGCACAGCGCGCCGATCACCCGATGCCGAGTTACCACCTCCAAACACCTCGCAAGACACCCTCCGCCTCGGCAACGACAGCGACGACGACGTCGTCGAGGCAACCAGCTTCCACGACTATGATCGCCTTCACTTCGAGAAGACCAACGAAACCGGTCTCCACATCCTTGGGCTCGCCGTAGCTGTTCGCCACACCTTCCCCAAGGAACCCACCACCGTTCGCCAGGCCTTGTCTGGCCCCGACAGTGAAAGGTGGAAGGCAGCCATGGCCGCAGAAGTCGCAGCACTCAAGAGCCGCGGAACGTGGAAGCTGGTTCCACGATCATCAGCGAAGGGGAGGAAAATTCTCAGCGGCAAATGGGTCTTCCGAATCAAAACACTTGCAGACGGCTCCATCGACAAGTACAAGGCACGATGGGTGGTGCGCGGGTTCGAGCAAACTCACATGGTGGACTTTGACCTCACCTACGCACCTGTTGGACGACACACATCGGTGCGCATTCTCATCTGCATCGCAGCCATCAAGCAGCGGCTACTCCATCAAATCGACGTCGGCAGTGCATTCCTGTACGCCCCCGTCGACGCCATCATCTTCGTCGAGCAGCCGCATGCCTTCGAGGAGAGCGACGGCACCGTCTGCCTCTTTCAAAAATCCCTCTATGGGATTAAGCAGGCACCTCAACTCTGGCAGCAGTACCTGCACACCGTCCTCACGGAGCTCGGATTCAAGCAACTACCACACGACCTCGGAATGTACCGGAAGGAGTCGCGCAGCAAGTTCATTCTTCTCGTCGCCTACGTTGACGATCTCCTCTACACCGGCGACGACACGGAGCTGCTGGGCTGGTTTGAGGCGGACATAAAAGAAAAGCTTGAAGTGACCATCAACCACAACGTCACCCAATTTCTGGGCCTCAACATCACCCAATGCGCCACCTCAATCCATCTCTCTGCCGCTAAATACGCCGAAACTCTAGCGAAGAAATTCGTCGTCGCTCCGATCAACCTCACCACCCCTTTTCGCACTCCTCCGAATCACGAACCCGACGCAACCCCACTCTCACAAGAGGACCATCGCCTCTATCAGCAACAGATGGGGTGTCTTCTGTTCGCCGCCGTCACGTGCCGGCCGATCTCTCCTACGTCGCAAGCCAGCTCGCTCAGTACCTGAAGCGACCTGAAGGGGAGAATCTAGTGGATCTGCGCCGCGCACTCCAATACTTCGTCTCTACTCCTGACGTCGGACTCACATGCGAAGCTAACCTCACCGCTACCCTGCAGCTTCACGGCTACGTTGACGCAGACCACGCGGGAGACATTGACAACAGACGCTCCCGTACAGGATTCATTTTCCAACTCCAACCTGCCGGACTCATCTCTTGGAACTCCCAGAAGCAGGAGCTCATTGCACTTTCGTCAGCCGAAGCTGAGTTCATCGCTGCCAGCATAAATGTTCGCGAAGGCCTGTACCTGATGGAGCTCCTACAGGAAGCGAAAGTGACGATGAAGGGGCACTTCACTTTACTCTGCGACAACCAGAGCGCGATCAAGATCGCGAACAAACCCGGCTTCGTGAACCGCACGAAACACATCGCACCCCGTTACTTCTTCGTCAAGGACGAGATCGACAAGGGCAAAGTCAAACTCACGTATTGCCCAACTGGTGACATGGCAGCGGACTTCCTGACCAAAAAGCTGCCACGTCAGAAGTTTCATCACTGCACCGACCTTTGCGGGATCTCGAATAAGTTCCACGTGACTCACCTTCAGGAATGAAGGGGAGTGTTGGAATAACCGAAAGGTTATAGTAACATTCCTGAAGTCTCTCCACTCGCGCGTCACTCCATAATGAAGCAACGCGCCTGTACCAGTACCGCGATAGCTCATACAGAGCACGCGGAAGTTCGAGGGTCAACAGTCGAAGACAGTCAACGGTCGTGACCCTTGACTGCCCAGTAACCGAACTTGGTAGTTACGCGCTGCAACATGGTAACTGTCAAGAATAGCAATAGTCGTGGTTACTGTAGCAATGCAATTCAGTTAATAAGGGAATGTACCCTTCAGAATACATGGCCAACTAGTTTGCTATTTATGTTCTTGTACTTCTACCTTATAATCATCTTGTTCTCTTTTCAATCTTATTAACAAGGTCAGTACAGAGACTTCACAGTTCTCTCATATACTTAGCAGCTTTATCCTATCCACTGCGATCCTTGAGTTATAACATCATGGTATGAGAGCTACAGTGGATTATAAGGCCTGCTAAGTTTTGTTCTTGCTAGAACAACCTCCTTATAAATTATTCGTTACATCACTACAAAACTCTGCACTACTATGGCTCCAGAAGAAAAAGCCACTGCAGATTCTCCGGGCCCACCACCAGCAACACCCACTGCACCATTAGCGAAAACCTCCGTCAGCGCCGCTCTCGTGGAGCAGCTGGTCGCCCGCATCAATGCTCTTGAGAGCCATCAAGCGATGAGCATCGATGGCTCAAGTTATGTACGTGGAGTTGCTGGACTTAGGGCGTGGAACATTTCAAAAAATTGACGAGAGTTCCATACGATGCCCCTCAGTTCCGCACCGTCCACCGGTTTGGGCGAAACCGAACGGTGGTTCGGACCCAACCTCGTTCAGTTGGGAAGTTGGAACATTTGACTATGTTTTTGAATTTGTATTTTCGAACGTCACTGTGCATTCTCGTACCGTCGCACGTACTAGATGCACAAAATCGCCTACAGACAACCACCAATAGCAACACTTGCATGCGACCATGGAATCCACATAAACTGTGCGATTTTGCATGCTGTCTGTTGCGCGATCACTGTACCTCTGTGTTCCGAACGGGGCAATTCCGACCGTTCGCACTGTCAGTACGGGAAACCTAGCATCAAATGTTCCACATGGGTTCCGCACGATGACGACGTCGCAGGAACCCTGGCGATGCCTATTGCGAAAACCAACGAAAACTGTCACCACGCCCAGTTCCGAGCGGTGCCGTGGTACGCACCATGAAAAATCGATATGTTCCACTCCCTTACTCTCCTTGGAGAAGACCGCCGCGTCAACTCCGAGAGATCTTTCACGTTTGACACAATGGTGTCGTTCTGTAGGCACCTGACGATTGGGGGAGGAGGGAGGGAGAAGGGAAATGAGGAGGGTTCCGAGGTGGGTTCCGAGGTCGATTTCCCCCCCCTGGGCAAACACGCGTGATGAGAAATTTCGGATTTTGGGGAGGTAGTTTCCGAGGGAAAATGACGAACTTCTCGCGGAATTTCTCGCGCCCAATGGAGGGATAAAACGTGACCATCGAATGCAGGACCAGGGTAGTTATTTGGGGCTGGGCGTTTTCAACATAGAAATCCCCAACATACAGGAGTGGTGAGCAGGCCGCCAGGGTTTTCACTTTGGTGGTTGGTGTGAGTTTTTAATTTTCGATTGGAGATTTGCTACCCGGTTTGGGTTAGTGCCTGTACAGGGAGCTTGTTTCTTGGGTGGGAGGCTGGTGTTCCCACGCCCAGCTCCTCCCTCCCGTCACCGTCGCACTTCCCCGTGAAGGGTGGGTGGCCGATGGCGGGGCGGAGGCAAATAAATCTGCCCGAGGAGGAAGGTGGTAAGGGGAAATAGGAACCTTCTTGTGGGTGCGTTTCCCTCGAGGGAAATGACTGTTCTGTAGGCATTTCCCTTCGATTAGGTTCGGAAGGGAAATGACTGCCACGTCGGCATTTTCTGGGCTGACCGCCCTTTCGAACCTAAAATTGCAGAGGCAGGCAGCTTCCTATTTTCCCTCCCCCTCCCTCCGTGATGCCTACAGAACAACACCAGTCCCTCCCTCGCATGCCGTTCCGATTCCTCCACCCACTTCGCATTTCCTAACCAATTTCGCAATTTCTAACGCAATCGTCTCCTTCAACACCAGACTGACTCTGCTCTCCCATTTTCTATTCGGCTGCTACACGCACGAGCCTCGTCGCTGGAGCTTTTGCTACGTTGACGCACGGACGTTCTCAATCCAGCTTCGCGGAGCAGCGTATCTTTTCACCGCGGAGCGTCGTTTGTAAGTTCCCAATCTACATTCTCGCCCTTTCGCTCCTAGTATGGTGTTTTCTTCTCGTTTTCTTCTTGTTTTCTTCAGCTCTCTGATTCCGCTTGCTCGTTTTTCTGCAGGATCTTGCTGCTTGGCGTCGCGACGAACATCTGCTTCGATCTGATGCCCTTTTGGACGCACCAACGAACCTTCAGTTTCGCGTTTTCGCGAACATGAACGACATTTCAACGTAAGCGTAGCGATGCCAGTGGGAAGGCTAGTAGACGACAACCATAGCCCGCCGCGAGAGTCGCGTTTTTGTTTCGTCCGTGCTATTTTTGAAGCATATACACCGATTCACCTATACTTCTATTTGTGTGTCCCTTGTCTCGCAGGTTCGATGCTTGAAGCACGCATTGCATGCTCATGGCTCCTGCTCTGCATCCACGCGTTTGCATGCGTTTCCACTCAAGGCGATTTCGCTCTACTGTCGTGAAGCCAACTCGCGTGGCACTCCAGTGATCCCTCGTGCTGCGTGGCATGAGCTGCCAGCACCAACACTCGGGTTGTGTTGAAACGGAGATGATTACCCTCTCGCCCTTGATTGCCTTGTCGTTCCGCATGCATGCGCCCCTCCCCACACTCCCACGAGCGTCTCTCGCTGCACGCCTGCTCACCACCACACGCAAGGCCCCCCCCCACGCTCAGGTATGAGGTTTGCTTGACAGGTAACTCCCCACTGCAGGTTCAAACATTCTTCTCCTTGGTACAGGTTCGGCTCAGGTACGGTTCAGGCTGAGGTACCCCCCTGGGTGTGGTGCGGCAGGCGTTGCTGTCGTTGGCGCTCTCTTCTCCCATGCATGTGTGCGCCTCTGCTGCCCTCCTGCTTGCCGCTGCCTCTCCGCCCCTTCCCCTCACCCATACCGTCCCCCACCCACCCCCCCACCCCCCTCTCACGCCTCTCCTATCCAGTCAACGTATGCGCTGCTGCTGTGGGCGCGACTGCTTCTTCCTGTCAACGCCTGCGCGGCTGCTGTGGGTGCTGCTGGGTGGTGCTGGGTGCTGCTGGGTGCGGGCTGTCCTGCAGTCAACGCCAACGCTAACGGACTCTCCTGCTTCGCAGATGAGTGCCCCTCCGCCCTTCACTCGCCTCGCTTTCTCCTTTCCCTCGCATGCACTCTGCACTCTCGCCCTGCTCGCTGCAGCAGCAACAGCACCAAGGCCGTCGCCCTGCTCGCTGCCACACCCAAGCCCTTGTTCCCCAGCTACCACGTTCGGACTAGGTACCCCACCCCCTCCCCCGGTAATGGTACAAAACTTTGAGCCAAGGTAATGGTGAGAGCGAGGTAAGGTTGAGACTAAGGTTCCCTTCTTGGGTGTGGCGTGGTGCAGCAGGCTTTGCTCTCGTTTCCAACGCCATCCCTTGCTGTGGCTCTGTGTGTTGTGGCTGTCCGTGCTGCCATGCCTTACCCACTCACTCCTACCGTGTGTGTGTGTTGCACGTGGAGGGGAGGGGTGTGGGGTCAGCACCGCCATTCCCCCACGCCAATCCCCTGTGGCCGTGCTGGTGCGCACACGGCAAGGCGGGGAGGAGGGGCGGTGCGAAGGAGGTGGCGGGGAGGGCAGAGAGCAGCAGGGGAGGGCAGGGGAGAGCAGCAAGGGATGGCGGCCACTCTCACGTGCACCTCACTAAAAGCTAAGTACCCTGTCCTCCCTGCTCTCGCCTTTGCTTGCTGCTCACTGCTCTCTTTTCGCTGCTTTGTTTTGCTCTCTCTCTCTTCTTGAAGCTTTGGTGCCACTGGTTGGAGCTCGGTTCACAAGCCACAGACCTCTCACTCACTCACTGCAGGTAATCCCCTCAGGTTAAGACCCCCACTCTCACGTGCACCTCACTGAAAGCTAAGTACCCTGTCCTCCCTGCTCTCGCCTTTGCTTGCTGCTCACTGCTCTCTTTTCGCTGCTTTGTTTTGCTCTCTCTCTCTTCTTGAAGCTTTGGTGCCACTGGTTGGAGCTTGGTTCACAAGCCACAGACCTCTCACTCACTCACTGCAGGTAATCCCCTCAGGTTAAGACCCCCTACAGCCTCACAGCCCCCTCAGGTCCCCTTCAGGTTTTCCGTGGGTCTGTGCCTTGTGGCTGTAATCTCCGCCAGTGGCCCCTCCCCTCTTCCTCGCCTGTCTGCCTCGCCTGCACATGGCACTTTCCATCCGCCTTCCACTCTCTCCTCCGCTTAACTTCCCCTCCGAGTCTCCCCTCCCCTCCTCTTCCCCTTCCACCTCTCCCCCTGCTCACCCCTCCGCCCATCCCCCAGCAGCCTCTCTGGTGGCGAGTTCCCAGCACTCCCGGCAGCGCCTTTGGGTGGTGTGAGGCGCTTCAGCGGCGGCACCACAGCAGCCTCAAGGCTCAGGTCGCCACCGCCACTCACAGTGGCACCAGGTAAGTACACGCTTCCCTCTCTCCTTTTCAGTGCTTTCAGTGTCTCTCAAATGCACGCTCACATGCATCCCCACTTCATCATTCCTCTTTCCCTCAAACCTAGCCACTTGCAGCAGCCTAGCCCACATGGTGCAGACCCCCTATTACAGGTATCTCCCCCCTCCTGCCCCAGGTTAAGCCTATAGCCCTATACCTTTGTTAAAGCCCACACTATCTCTGGGTCCGCACCATGTGCCTAGCGCTGCTCCAGTGGTCCCTCTGCTGCTCTCACCTGCCTCCCCACCCCACCCCACCCTATCCCACCACACCCACCCCTAGCGGCTTACTCACTGAGCTTCAGTTTCCTCCTTGCCGGTGGAGGGAAAGGGGCGTGGGGGTCAACACGGCCACTCCCTCGCGCTCCTCCCCTGGTGGCCTTGCAGGTGCTGGTGGGGCCGGGAGGGACGCAGCAAGAAGAGCTGGGTTTCGGGGCTACCATCAGGGAGAGTATAGGGAGGGAGGGGTTCGGCCTTCACTGGTAACTCCCTCCTTTTCTTTTCCACACTTCCTTCAAGTCGCATTTCTCTCAGTTCACTTTTCACTGCAGTTTCTGTTTACAACCGTTGCTCACCCATCTCCACTCACTTGTTTCCCTTCTCCTCCATGCCTGCCCCGTCTCTCCCTGCAGCATCAGCAGCCAGTCCGCTCCTGCAGCAGAGGCGCATGCGGGCAGGCCAAGGGGTGGCACTCCAGCCGGCCAGAGGGAGAGCATGCTCTCTCATTCTCTCTCCACATTACCACTCCAGTTTTTGCTCCACTTTCACTTAGCTGTTTGCTGCGTTTCCAGTTTCGTCTCCCTTCAAACTTGAGCCTCTGGTCGTGCCACAGCTTTAAGCCACAGACCCCCTTTTTTAGGTAAACCACCCCAGGTATAGCAGGCATCCTTTCAGATTAAGCCTACCTAGGTATATACCCCCCTTGGGATCTGTGGCTTGTAGCTGAGGCTGCACTAATGGCTCCCTTTTCTGCTCTCACATGCCATCCCATCCCACCCATACACTCCTCTCACATTTCTACCCCTAGAATCTTACTCACTTTCCTTGAGTTCTACCCTTGCTTGTTGAGGGGAGGGGTGTGGGGGTCAACACCGCCGCTCCCTCGCGCCCCTCCCCTTGTGGCCGTGCAGGTGCCACTGCCAGGTGGGAGGGAAGGCGGGAAGAATGCTGCCAAGAGGGAGAGTATCTGTGGTGGGGTTGGCCTTTCAAGGTGAGCCTCTTCTCGCCACCCCAGATTATGCCCTCGCCCCCCTCCCCTTATGCCCGTTTTATGTCTTTCCGCATCGTTCAGCTTGCTTTGCTCTCCCCTCTCCGCTGCTCCGCCTTCTCACCAAAGTCCTCTCCTCTGCCTGCTCTCTCTCCCCCTCTGACCTGATCATCCCAGCATATCGCGCACACGGGAGCGGCAGTGGGGGGGACAAGGAGTGCACAGGCAGCAGCTGCTCTCCACCCAACCCACCCACAGCTAATTACTCGCCCTGCCTGTTCCCTCCCAGCCCTTGCTCTTGTCCTGCTTTACATGTCTTGCTTGCACCATGCATCAAACTCGCTTCCTTACTGCCCTCTGTCACACTCAAGAGACCTCCCTCCCCCAAGGTAGCAGGTTCAAAACTTTGGTACATCCTCAGGTATTTGGTTCTTGTGTGGTTCAGCTGGTACGAGGTCTCTTGAGTGCGCCACTGCAGCAGTCCATTCACGTACGCATCATCCTTGCATTTCCTTCTCCACTCTTCATTCTCACTTACTCACTTGATCTGGTTTCGTTCCTCTTTTCCCTCCTCCCTTTTCTCTGTCCTGATCCGACCCCTCTTGTCCCAGCAGGCCGCTCACACGGGAGGTGCAGTGGCGGGGGACATGGAGTGCACAGGCAGCAGCTGCTCCATCTAACCCATCCACAGCTAAGTCCCTGCCCTGCTTCACTTCTCCCCAACCATCTCTCGCATTCCATGTTGATCCCTTCTTGTCTTTTCAAATGTGAGCCTCTGGTCGTGGCACAGCTTCAAGCCACAGACCTCCTTTTTTCTCAGGTAAACCACACCAGGAACAAAAGGTATCCTTTCAGGTTAAGCCTACCTTGGTATATACCCCCCTTGGGTCTGTGGCTTGTAGCTGAGGCTGCACCAGTGGCCTTCTTTCCTGCTCTCACCTTCCATTGCTCTCACTTCTGTCGGCCTAGTTGCTTCCTCACTTCCTTTCAGTTTTCTCCTTGCCGGTTGAGGGGAGGGGCGTGGGGGTCAACACCGCCACTCTCCCGCGCCTCTCCCCTTGTGGCCTTGCAGGTGCAGCTGGGGCTGCGAGGGAGGCAGGGCAGCGACAAGAGCTGAGGGCGACCATAAGGGAGAGTATCGGGAGGGGGTCCGCCTTCACTGGTAAGCCCTTCTGCTCTTCCTCACTCCCTGTAATTCACTTTCCTCTGCAGTTTCTGTTTACAACCGTTGCTCACCCATCTCCACTCACTTGTTTCTCTTCTCCTCCATCCTGCAGCAGAGGCGCATGCGGGCGGGTGAAGGGGTGTCACTCCTTCCAGAGCATGCGGGCTGCTTGCTGCTGACAGGGTAAGTTGCTTCCTCACTCATTCTCTCTCCATTTACCGCTCTAGTTTCAGCTGCCATTTCTCGTTCTTGCATTCTTTTTCCACCTGGACGCTTGCTGCATTTTCTATTTCGAGTCCCTTCAAAGTTGAGCCTCTGGCCGTGCCACAGCTTCAAGCCACAAACCCTTTTATTTCCTAAGGTAAACAACCCCAGGTACAGAAGGTATTCTCCCTCTCAGGTTAAGCCTACCTTGGTATATGCCCTCCCTTGGGTCTGTGGCTTGTAGCTTAGGCTGCACCAGTTGCCCCCCTTTCTGCTGTCAGCTGTCATCCCACCACACCCATGCACCTCTCTCACATTTCCACCCCTATCAACCTACTCACTTCTCTTCAGTGTCCTCCTTGCTGGTTGAGGGGAGGGGCATGGGGTCAACACCGCCGCTTCCCCAGCCCCTCCCCTGGTGGCCTTGCAGGTACCCACGGGGATGGGAAGGAGGCAGCACTGCAGCAGACTGAAGCGGGTGTTGCCAGGGAGAGTATCGGGGTGGGCTTGGCACCCTCTCAAGGTATGTAATCTCACGCCCTGGCCTCTCCTCTCCTCCTCTCGAGTTCACTCGCTGCAGCATCTCTCTCTTCCATTCTGCATTCTCGTTTCTGTCCACTCAAGTGTTCTTCTGTCCACTTGAGTTCTTGTGTTCATGCCGACTCACCAGATCGTCTGCCCTTCTTCTCTTGTTCCTTCCCCCCGTTTTCTGCCCGCTACCAGGTCACTTGGCGTCAAGAGAAGATTGCAGCTGAGGAAGCAGAGTAGCAGACCGGCAGCAGCAGTAGCAGCAGCAGAAGCGGCAGCGACAGCAGCAGTAGCAGCAGCGGGGGTTGGGGGGCTAGGGGCAGGTTAGGCTAGCTAGTTGTGGGTGAGGTACGGTACAGGTGTGGTATGGTACAGATAGGCTCTCTCTCTTCCCCCCTTCTCCCCGCAGGCTGAGGGTGGGAGCACTGGAGCAACGGCGGGAGAGTGGAGTCCACCTTCTCACTCACCTCCTCCTCTCTCCCTTTTCCCTTCCCTCCCAGCAGCACCCTGCCTGGATCACAGAGGAGTCTCTCCCTCCGTAACTCCCCCTTCTCTCTCAACTTCCCAGCAGCCTCAGCATGCATCATGGCGCTCTGCACGGCTGTGGTAAGTGGAGGTAAGTACAGGTAAGCAGGCATGGGGGTGAAGTGTGGGGTGGGTGGGTGGGGAGCATGGGAGCAAGCGGGGAGTTCACTGCTTTAGGGGCAGCACCCTCTGGGGTTGTGCCTTGTGGTGATGGGGTGTGGTGGGTGGAATCTGCGCGGCACGGCACTCGGTGCTCAAGTAACCGAACCGGCGTTCAAGGCCTAATGGACACCGTCAGAGCCGACCGGCCGGCGGCTCTGGTTCGCGTCAGCTCTGGCTACGTCAGGGGTGGAATTTGAGTCTTGGGCTGGACGCGATTTTCCACTACCTCATCTCGCCCCACAAGGCACAGCCTCTGGGGGTGTTGTTTCCTTAAGGAAGTGGGCTCTCTGCTGCTCCTACTGCTGGCAGGTAAAGGTTGGGATGGGCTGGGTGGGCGAGTGAGAGGGAGGGGGGCTGAACCCCCTTGGGTGGGTGAGTGATGGGGAGGGGGGCTTAACCCTCTTGGGTGGGTGAATGAGGGGGAAGCGGCTGAAACCCGTTGGGTGGGTGAATGATGGGGAGGGGGGCTGAACCCCCTTGGGTGGGTGTGTGAGAGGGAAACGGGCTGAATCCGCTTGGGTGGGCTAGTGAGAGAGAAGGGGTTGAAAACCCTTGGGTGGTGGAGTTAAAGGGATGGGGCCTGAAACCCCATGGGTAGTTGAATGGAAGGGAAGGGGGCTAAAAACCCTTGGTTGGATGAGTGAAATAAAAGGTGCATTTAACCCCTTGGATGGGTGTGGAGAAGGAAAGGGGGCTCATACCCCTTGGATGGGTGAGTGTAAGTTAAGGGGGATTAAATCCCTTGGGTGTGGGGGGGGAAGAGAAGGGGCCTGAAGCCCCTTGGGTGGGTGAGTGTAAGAAAAGGGGCATTTGACCTGTTGGGTGTGGGGGGGTAAGAGAAGGGGCTGAAGCCCCTGCCTTGGCATGGGGGCAATGGCAGTCGTGCCTTGGCATTGGGGCACTGGTAACCCTGCCATTGCCACACCCCAACTGCCTGGGGGTCACCTCGCCCATGGGGGTTTCACACCCATCTGCCACACCCCACCAGCACCACAGCTCCCGAGCATGGGATGTGGTGGTGATGGACTGATGTGATGGACTGGTGTGATGACATGAGTGGAAGAGAGGGATGGGGGCTGAATCCCTTAAGGTGGGTGGGTGAACG